AGATACAAGCCAGAGTGTACATTGCTGAGCTGATAAATTATCCTGCTTAAGGACTAACAAAACACTTGGTACAATTGGCAATATTTTTTTCTTCTTATTTACTACTTTTCTAAGTTTCATTCTGTTGTTGCAAGTTTCTGTACATTTTTTTTCTGTGAAGCCTTTTTATTGTCTGACTTTAAATAAAAAGTATTTCTAATGATCTGGCAGTGAATTGCCTTGATTTGATAAATCTGTATTTGAAAACAGACTGGTGAAAACATGCACTGATATAACTGTGGAACCCATCCCAGGCCTTTCTGAAAGAAGGGACTGGCACGAAGGGCCCTTTCATGTAGCTTTAGCACCAGAGCCCCATGCATTAATAGCACTTAAGATCCTGTTTCTTGTGGTCACCTTCATTTTGGGAAGAGCCTCTTACAGTAACTTAATTTTCTATTAAAGGATCCGAATCTGAAAGGATATTAGCTTAGAACAGGAACTGTTGAGAGTCAGTATGATCTCATTACAGGAAAGGGCTACATCCAGGATCTTATCACCAACGTAGCTTCTCCCACACCAGGCCATTAGAGAGTCATGCTTCCTTTAGAGCTTAGGGGAACATCAACATGAAGGTACCTGCTGACTTCTGTTACAGAATGCCCAGTAGCCAAAGAAACTGTCTCAAGAAGTTTGCCTAGTGGATTATAGAATTTAATTATTGAGAAACTCATTGTTCAAAATTTCTTCCTTGAGACCATCAGCCCTGTAACATTCTCCTGAGCAGTGTAACACTGGCAGTGTAATACAAGGCAGGACTTTCTGGAGCTTGGGACAATGGCATTCGCAAATTGATTCAGGATTGCTTGAGTCACTATCATAGCTTCTTGCTATGAGGTCTTGAATTGCAAGGAGAGATAATCCAAGCTACTTTGTTTTGATTTTTGTTGTTGTTGTTGTTGTTGTTTTGGGCTATACCCAGTGATGCTCAGGTGTGGCTCCTGCCTCTGCACTCAGGAGTCACTCCTGGCAGTTCTCGAGGTCCATATGGAATGCTGGGATCAAAATTGGTTCAGCCGCATGCAAGGCAAGTGCCTTACCCACTGTACTATCTCTGGCCCCTAACTGGTTTTTGTTTTTTGTTGTTTTTTTAAATTTTATTTTTATAAAGTTGTTCACAATAATTCATTACATTTAATACTCAAACACCAATCCCACCACCATTGCACCTGCCCACCACCATATTTCAAATGTATCCACCCCAAACCCCAAACGGTGCCCCCCCGATGCAGAAACAAAACAAGTTTGTATTGTTTGTTATGAATAATCTGCAAAAATGGTCCAATAAAGTTTCCTTAGAGGAAAGTGTGTAGTGAAGATTGTTGTATTTCATCCTGGAGCCATTAAGTCCTTGTATAAGAGATTACTAATATTTCTATTAAACCCAATCAAATCTTGTGTGCTACTCTTGGCACATTAGCAGTGTAGAGTAGTGCGGCCATGTGCTCCAGGAATTCTAAAATTTAGAATATGATTATGCAGCAGATTCATTTATGGGTAGGGCCTATGCTGCTCTCTTCCAGGAGGTTATTTCTGGCCTGATTACTTTTTTACTTTTTTTTTTTTTTTTTTGCTTTTTGGGTCACACCCAGCGACGCACAGGAGTTACTCCTGGTTCATGCACTCAGGAATTACTCCTGGTGGTGCTCAGGAGACCATATGGGATGCTGGGAATCAAGCCTATGTCGGCTGCATGCAAGGCAAACGCCTTACCCGCTGTGCTACTGCTCCAGCCCCAGGCCTGATTACTTTCGACTTTTTTTTTTACAAAGCTAGTGGAGTCACATTGCTTTGTAGTGATTGATCATTTTCATAGTTGCTGGATAGAAACTAGGGGCCACACAAAAAACAAAGTGTCTATAGTGCTCTATTTTTTTTTTCAAATCAAATCTTGCATTTAACATTGTCACATTATATCTGGTTCTGATTCTTTCACTTTATCCCCACAATGACACATTTGTCCACACACCCCCCCCCACACCCCCCGCAGTTTAGAACTTAAATGTTCTATAGAAGAGCGAAAATCCTGAAGTATTTTTTTCGGGGATGGGGGCACACCCAGCAGTGCTCAGAGATTACTCCTGGCTCTGTACACAGGGATTAGAGAGCTCCTGGAGAGCTTAGGGGACCATATAGGGTGCTGGGGACTGAAGCTGGGTCAGCCTCATGCACGGCAAACACCCTACCTGCTATACTATCTCTCCAGCCCCCCCCCCCCCCCGGGGGTATTTTTTAATGTTGAAGAGAATTTCAGACTTGCTGGTGTTAAATCCCCCTCCTTGCTTAACAATGAGACATTAGGAAGGATAAAGAACTGTTTTAAGTGCTTAGAGATTTACTTTATACTAAAGTAGTGTACCAGGCAGAACTAAGTAAATACGGTCCTGCAGTAGTTATAAATTCTCACCGTGAGAAGTCTGTGCAGCCTTCTGTTTTTCCCTACAAAAAAAAATTCTTGATCAGTTCATCAATAAAATGCCCAACAAATAAACCAATGAGTATTGTTGTTGAGAGGGAATTGACATATACCGAGTTCATTTCCCCAGCATGACCTGATATGTACATTACAAGATGGGGCACAGTAAGTCACATCTAATTTTTAATGACAATATTCGTGACAGTCATTAGACTGTACATTACATCCTCAGACTTACAACTGCATGTTTGGACCTTTGACTCATGCATTTTGTCCTGGCAAAACTACCAGTGTGTTTTTGATAAATCTGAAGGAATTTTTTTTTTAGATTTAATATATACATGGGTCCTTATGTAATTTTTGAGGAAACTCTGTACCATTTTTCATAATTCTATTCCCACTTATAGAATACTGGGAATCCCTATTCTCAGCACCTTCACAAGTGATTGTTATTTCCTCTCTTCTCTGTTAGAGGTGTGAGGTGCTCACTCGCTCACTGCGGCTTTGTCTGGCATCTCCCTGAGCATGCTGAGCACCTTTTCATGATGGACATCATGTGTCCTCTTTTCAAGAATGTCTATCCATTCCTGTGACCCTTTCCTCCCCCTGTCTCATAACCATTGCTCAGGGACCCCAGGGGCCACTCCTCCCACTGATGCTCAGTTGTTGGCCTGTGCCAACAATTCAATGCTCAGACAAGGCGATGTGGGGATTCTGGAAGCTAGCACTCAGGGGTCATACAGTACTGAGGAATGAATTCAGCACCTCTGCATGCCAGACAGTGCTCTCCAGCCCTCCATGGTACCCCAACTCTCTTATTTGTTTTTCCTGCTACTGAATTGCATGAGTTCTTTATATATTTTTAATGAGTCCCTTAGAAGAATTATGATTCACAGATATCTTCTTTCACTCCAGAGATTAGTTTCTGTTGTTGGGTGGTGGTCAATAAACACATAATGATTGAGTCATTTCAACTTACAAATGCTTTGGAAAGATCCACACACTTGGGTTGCCTGCTCTACCATACACTGAGTACACAAGTCCCTGAAGAATGAGGAAGAACGCCAAATATTCTTTCCTGGGATGTTCTGGGCAATAAGACAGGCAACTGTGGAGCTGGAAGGACCACCACTGTCATAGCAGTGGCATCCAGGACAGTGGAAAAAACAAGATGTTCCTATAAAGCAAAGCAGAAATTCAACATAGGCTGCATTCGCTATAACCAGGAATAAGCAGGCATTTCCATTGCTCTTCCAGGCAGCAGACCTGCTGATCAGAGCCCTTGGTGGCATACAGTAGTTTTGGAAACACTGTCTCCAAAAAGTGGTCCAGCCCTGAGTTCTCAGTCCCAGCTTTTCTTCTCTTCCTTTGCCTTGCTCTTTACCAAACCAGATAAGCACTTACTAAGAAAGATGCTAAGGTGCCAACAAATTCCCGCCAACTCTGACAGGCTCTTGTGTCTCAGCAGTACCTCTCCACCCCAGATGCTAAACCCCGACTCACAAAACCTTGGCTTAGGGACTACAGGGGCACAGACCCTGCATCCTGGCCAGACAGACACATGCTCTGTGTCCCCACCATAACAGTGTGAATGACAGGATGAACTCTGACCCACCGCCCTGATCTCCTCCATCTAACCTAGCAAGCAGTTGGTTCCTGGCTCCCTCTAAAATGTTATGTTGTGCCAGCTCAGTAAAGGCATCAGTGAACGGCATTTGGATGGTTTTACCTCCCTCCTTTCACAGTTTCTGTGACATTGATCTGAGCACAGACATAGGAGGAAATTAGTCTCACTGGGATCTCAGGGATGCTCCCACCTCCTGAGGGGACTCTTACCAGGACATACCCCTCCACATGCAAAACCCAACACTGACCTCCTTTCACCCCTCCCCTTCTCCTGAACCTCGATCCCCTGAGTCCCCTACAATTGATCACAGCCTACAGGTGCTCTCCAATTCACTCCCAGTGTGTTCTAGACCAGGATGGACAGTGACAACTTGACCTAGAGAATATTTCTCAGCTTTTCTAGGTGGTGCTTTATACGGTTCTTCTTGAACCAGGGCCGTGAGTGTCAGGGGCCTTCTCATGCAGGTGTTTCTCAGGCCCAGATCATTGCAGTCTACATTTGAGACTTCTTGAAACCTGTGCCTTAGTAGTTTTTTTCTCTACTGTAAGCAGAAGGCAGTAACTTCCAGTTCCTCTGGATCTTGGGAGTGTTGTCTCAATCCCTGGGGAGAAAGAGAAATTCCTATATGCTGGGGAACACTTTCCTAGTGTCAGCAGATTAGACCTTTTCTTAAAAGCTTCCTGAGTGAGATTGGGGTACGGGTTGTCTGATCTGGTAGCCCTAATGTAAGAGACATTGAGAAATTATATTTGGAGAGGTCCACTGAACTGGAGCCTGCACATTTTGAAAGTTTCAAAACAAAGTAAAGTGTCTTAATTACAATAGAATGTTTTGAATGTGGAACCCTGGCAGGGGTAGGGGGGCACGAAGAATTGTATACCCTAAATCTGCCTCCTGTTGCACCTTACTTTCTTTGGTTTATGCAAAATATCCATGACCTTTGGCCAGTGTCCAGCAGAGGCAGGATACTAATGTGCACTGCAAATTGTCAGCCTCCTCAGCTTCCAGGACATGAGGCATGGCACAACCCTGCTTCAAGAGTTGTAGTGAGGTCAGCAGAGGTTGATGGGCAGTGGTCAAGCAGGCAACAAAGAGATAGCCTGCTCCACAGAGACTCAGTTCCAAAAACCCCGTAACACAGAGATCCCGCTCCACAAAGACCCCATTCCTCATAGGTCCCATTTCACAGAGACCCTTTTCCAAGAGACCCTGTTCAACAGAGAGCCTATTCTACAGAGATCCCATTCCAGAGAGACTCTTCCACAGAGAGTCCATTCCAAAGAGAATCTGTTGGGCAGAGACCCCACTCCACAGAGACCTCACTCCACAGGAGCGTTATTCCCTTCAAGATTTTGGAACTTGTTGCTAAAATATGGGCAATTTTTTACAGGGTGATGAAAATATATAGATTTTTCACAAACAGAATTTTGTTTGGGGGCCACATCCAGTGGTGCTCAAGACTTGTTCCTGGCTCTGTGCTCAGTGATCAATCCTGGCAGGGCTCAGGGATCAAATGTGGTGCTAGGGATCAAACTTGGGTTGACCACATGCCAGGAAAGCGCCTCAAACCCTACACTGTCTCTCCAGCCCAGGTGGAGAATTTTAGTAGAGACACACTGTTAGGAAAATCCAATAAGAATGAACATAAAAAGGGGAAGCAGGGAGTGTTAGCAGAGTAGTAAAGGAAAGAATGCACTGACCACTGCATCAGCAAACTGGACCATCTCAAGAAGGTGGCAGAGAACATGAAGGCAGATTCAGAGAAATGAGTATATGGGGCAGAGCCTGGGGATAGAATGAACTTGAGTCTAACAGTGAAGAAGCTTGGTTTTCTTTGGGGTCATCTGCCCAGAGTGCATTCCTCTCAGTCTGAGGTCTTGAGACTTGGTGATGTAGGGGTGTGATCTGTGCCTTGGGGCCACCACTTACCCGGAAACTTGCAGTCTTGGTGGCCCTCACAGTCTTGGAGGTGGCGTGGAGGAGCTGCTGTGCATTTTCCACCAGGAGTTCCTCAGAGCACTTGCTTCTTGCCAGAGACGCCTTTACACTGGAGGGCAGGGGAAGCGGTTAGCACTGCACCAGCTAAAAGGGACCGCTTCAGAGAAACACACACCAGAGTTTACAAGGTGGAGACTCTTCCAGAAAGCCTCTGTGGGAACTAGTCAAAGAAAATATTGTTTTCTCCTTGAAAGAAAAAAAAAATCTAGAAGCCAGAGGAGCAAATACAGTGAGTAGGGCACTTACCTTGTATCTGGGCAACCTGGACTTTATCTCTGGCATCCCACTGGTCCCCTGAGCCCACTAGGAACGATCCCTGAAGCACAGAGCTAAGAGTAAGTCTGAGTACCTCCAGGTGTGATAAACCAAACATACAAACACAAACATGCCGACCCGAGTTCGATTCCTCCGCCCCTCTTGGAGAGCCCGGCAAGCTACCGAGAGTATTCGATATGCCAGACACAGTAACAACAGTAACAACAGTAACAAACACAAACAAACAAAAAAAAAAACAAGTTTTAATTCTATTTTGGTTGCAATGCTGCAATAGTGTGTAAGTTTATAGTACTGATGTACAAAGTCTTCACATTTGCTGCTACCAAAGTACTAAAGACCTTCTACCATTCCTCTCTACCATTTGCTCTCTCAGCACTTCATTGAGAAAAGATGTTTTAAAGAAACAGTCTGGGGCTGGAGCAATAGCACAGCGGGTAGAGCATTTGCCTTGAACATGGCCAACCTGGGTTCGATTCCCAGCATCCCATATGATCCCCCGAGCACCACCAGGAGTAATCCTGAGTGCAGAGCCACGAGTAACCCCTGTGCATCGCCGGTATGACCCAAAAAGAAAAAAAAAGAATCTAAAATTTCAAACATATATTGATATATTTCACCCCCAGACCCACGTGTCCGTTATAGTCCCCGATTGCGACGAAGGCCTTAAAGCGAGTGTGCTGGCCGGCGCGCGTCTGCTTCTGCACCGGCATGATCTTCAACACCTCGTCTTTGAGCGCCGGGCCCAGGAAGAAGTCGATGATCTCCGACTCCTTGATGGGCAGTGAGAAGATATATATCTCCTCCAGCGACTTGATCTTCATGTCCTTGACTAGGCGGCCCAGCTTGGTGACGGGGATCCACTCCTTGTCCTCGGCCTTTCCTCCACGGGCCCCGCGGCCGCGCCCGCGACCACGTCCACGGCCGCGGCCACGCCCCCGCAGGCCGCTGCCGAAACCTCCGCGGAAACCGCCGCGACTTCCCATGCCGGGGCCCCCCGGGCCTCCGGGCCCTCCCGCAGCACCAGTGTCATCCGCCATTTGGTGTTTTCGTGGAGAAGAAGCTGGAGCGTGGAGAAGGGGCTGGAGCGATAGCACAGCGGGTAGGGCGTCTGCCTTGCACGCAGCCAACATGGCCGACCCGAGTTCGATTCCTCCGCCCCTCTGGGAGAGCCCGGCAAGCTACCGAGAGTAGTCGATATGCCAGACACAGTAACAACAAAGTCTCCAATGGAGACGTTACTGGGCCCGCTCGAGCAAATCGACGATCAACGGGAGGGCCTTTACCTTTACCTTTATTGATATATTGATACTCAGAACATATCACTTATAAGTGGGGAAAGGTTTTTTTAATTTTATTTATTTATTTTATTTTATTTAGTTTTTGCTTGTTGGGTCACACCTGACGATGCACAGGGGTTTCTCCTGGCTCATGCATTCAGGAATTACTCCTGATGGTGTTTGGGGTACCATATGGTCTGCTGGGAATTGAACCCTGGTCGACCGTGTGCATGGCAAACACTCTTCCCACTATGCTATTGCTCCAGCCCTAAAAGTATTTTTTAAATAAAAAAAATAACTGAAGAGAAGTAGTCAAATAAAGCCAATGTCCTTCTATATTAAAGAGAAATGAGATATTTTTAATAGAATTGCAGGGAGGACTTAAAAGTTATATAAATTATAATAAACGATATGACTGGACTGAATTACACACTTCAAGGTATTTGTATTAAACTATAACAATTTAGGTAGACAAATTGTTTTCTACCTATGAAAATGAAGGGCTGGAGTGATAGAACAGCGGGTAGGGCATTTGCCTTGCACGCGCTGACCCGGGTTTGATCCCCAGCATCCCATATGTCCCCTGAACACTGCCAGGAGTAATTCCTGAGTGCAAAGCCAGGAGTAACCCCTGAGCATTGCTGGGTGTGACCCAAAAAGGAAAAAAAAAGAAAATGAAGCTGCTCAGTGGTATGTAGAAAAAGGAAAGAAGGGAATAGACAGAATGGAACCATGACAAACCCTTGGCCTTGGATCACAGAGCTGAGATAACCAAAACTGGTCCTGGGGGTGTGGAACACAGGGACAGAGGTGGAGGGTCCTGGGAACTTTCTTGGTGGTGAAGGTGCAATAATTTATACCATAAAACCATAAGTGTTAATGCTATTGTAACCATGTTACCAAAAGTATAAAAGTGTAACAAAACTTTAAATTTTTTAAAAGACAAATATTTTCATAGGAATGTCCCATGTAGCCTTATTTGTCATCACAAAAATCCAGAAAAATCCAAATGTCTATTGGGCTGGAGCGATAGCACAGTGGGTAAGGCGTTTGCCTTGCACGCGGCCAACATGGCCGACCCGAGTTCGATTCCTCCGCCCCTCTCGGAGAGCCCGGCAAGCTACCGAGAGTATTCGATATGCCAGACACAGTAACAACAAAGTCTCCAATGGAGACGTTACTGGGCCCGCTCGAGCAAATCGATGATCAACGGGAGGGCCTTTACCTTTTACCTTTACCTTATCAGTGATTAAATGGATATTTAAATTTATGATGTATCTATTATCAAAAACACATCAATTAAAGAAAAGTAAAGAGATGTAGGTGCTCTGAAATTTAAGTAACTGATTTTGGGTGACATCTCCAGACTTGCAGAGAGCCTGTGAAGGTGATAAACAGGCCCATGCCAATCCTGCCTTGGGAGTTTCTGTATTCCAGGGCCACTGACTTCTTCAGGCCTTGCTCTTTTAGGAAGAACATCCATCCCTGGGGGAAACCAGCTTGCACACCGGGCAGGGCCTGGGACCCTGGACCTGGTCCCCACCCCAGCCCACAATGGGGGTGTCAAGACATTAGTGTCAACCCCTGTAGGATAACATTGGTTTGCCCTTCCTCCCTGGCTGCAGGGAGCTTGGGTTTGTTGATTGCTCCCCCAACTTGTCAATTACCTTTGCCTCCAGATCAGACTCTGTTGACTTGTAAATATTGTTTTTCTCTTCTCCTTAAGTCCTTTGCACAGTTAATTCAGAGCAGTGTCCTTTTTGTATAAACACAGGAAGACAGTTAATGCTATCCTTTTGTAATTTGGGAGTTAATTGACTCTGGATGATATTTTCCTCCTGGACATCTGTTCTCTCAACTTAGGCCTCAGTTGCCCTTACTTCCTAACATCCCAAAAGCAGGGTCCCAAAGAGGGACTGGATGGACCCAGGGCAATCTGTGTGCTACACTGGCATCAAAATGGGCCTGGCCAAAGCCCCATAACACTTAACTGTAAGTTAAGAGCATGGTCATGGACAAATTCTGTCATAATCCAAAAAGTAACAACTAGACTAAGACCCTGCTAGGGTTAGAAAAGATAAATGTGGCCTGAGCACTATAGTCTGAGATCTATAGGGAGATGTCCCCAGGAGAATCACCCTACAAGCTCAATGTATCTCTTCCTGTGTCCATACAAAATAACTAATATTAAGAAGTAGAATTAAGATGTTAATTAAGATGTTAATTAAGTTATTGGACTAAGGAGAGGAGAAATACCCCTAGGTGGTATTTCCCTCCCTTGAGCCTGATCAACAATCAGGAAGGACTTTTGATATGTTGATTGTGCTACAGATAGGTGTGGTGGCTACCCCCAATGTGGGGAGTTGGTGAGAGACGGGAGAGAGACCAGGGCAGCGAGATGGAGCACAGAGAGACTACTAAGGGGGACAGAGGGAGAAGAATGTAGGGAAAGAATGCAGGAGCAGGCGCGCGGAGAGATGAGAGAGGCAGCTGCGAGAAAGAGAACAGAGAGATGAGTGGGAGAGACAGGAGGAGACGGGAATGAGGGGCAGTGTGAGACTAGAATGAGGGGCTTAGTGAGACTGGTACAGGCAAGTGGGAGAATGGAATAAATGGCAACTGATCACCAACCAGCCTGGTAGCCTTGTTTCCTCCTTCCTCTGCCCATGGCTTTGGCCATCCTGGGTGGGCAAATGGCCCAAGTCCACTGAACACAGGCAGCGAGAGAGAGCTGCACGGGGTTCCGTAGCCACCCAGAAATTACACAGACCCCCATGTCCCCAGCCACAGAACTTCACCGGATGAGCCCATTTTAAGCCTCCTGAGCTGACGCCCCTCCCCTTGTCCTTTCCTTCTCACAGAACAATGAGGGCTCTTGCCCACATTTTCCTCTCACTTCTTTGGTTTGGGGTTCATTTTATGGGGGCTTCTCCCAGGCAGTGCCCAGGGAAGAATGCACTGACCACCTCTACAACAGACTGGACCAGCACAAGAACTTGAAGACAGGAACAACCCCCAAACACCAGGGGCAGCAGGCCAGAGGGTACCATGTGCTGCTGTCAGGCTGTGCTGAGCACTGAGCGCCACTCTCTGGCCACTTCTGCCTCTCACGGTCCTCCTGCTTTTGGAGGAGAACCCTCCACTTTCCTGCTGGGTCCTGCATGGCAGGCTCTTCCTCCTGCTTCTGAGGAGCAGTGAGGGCCCTGATGCCTTTGCGACTGTCATTTCCATGCTTGAGATACAAATGCCAAGCACCCTCTCAGCATACCTGAAATGCAGACATTCACTGCAATGCTGGCCAGTGAAGGAGATTGCCGGGGTCGGCTAAGCTGGAGAGGTTCATGAAACACTCTTTGCTAGAGAAGGATACGCAGCTTTTCTTTTTAAACCATTGTTTACAAAAGGACTTTTTGTAGACCCTGCTCTTGGCCTTGGGTTTTTATTTTGTTTTGTTTTGTTTTGTTTTTCTTTTGGGAGGAGAAGGGCTCCCAAGTGGTACTCAGGGGGCCCAGGGTCATTCCTGGTGTCACTTGGCCACCTTGGTGGTAGTTCAATGTGAAGCCTGAGGATGGAGCTGCTTGCCTGGGTTTCCCAGCACACCCTGGCCATCCTTGGGGGCAGGAATGGGGAACCTCCAGGAACACAGGGATGATGCTTGGGGACTTGAATGGCTGCACTGAATGGGTCAGGGCATGTGGGTCCCAAGATCTCGGGTCCATGCACCCCAGTCCCTGCATTATCTCCCTGCACCTGGCCGTGTATATATGCATCATAACATCGAGACTAGTTTAAGGATTGTTCTGTTTTGTTTGGATTTGGGGGCGACACACAGCAGTACTCAGGGATTACTTCTGGCAGGATTCCAGTCCCTATGTAATGCTGGAAATCAAACTGTGTCTTTGAAGCAAGACAAGTATCTCCCCAGTCCTGATAATAGTTTTAACAATCAGTTTTTCCAAAATAAAATTATACTAGGGCCTGGAGCAATAGTACAATGGATAGGGAGCTTGCCCTGCACCAAACAACCTGGGTTCTCCAAGTCCCCTTCAGGAGCAATCCCTGAGTGCAAAGCCAGAAGTAAGGCCTGAGCACTGCCAGGTGTGGCACAGAAACAAAAACAAAAGATAAAATTTAGGCTGGGATTCCTACTTGTTAGAAGGGGAGTCTCCCAATTTGAGAACTGTTTAATAATAAAGTCAATAAGATCTTTAAATAAATAAATAAATAAATAAATAAATAAACAAATGTTAGTCATAGGAATTTGTTTCTGATAAATATATACCATTGGAGGTCTTCAAGGGGCCATCAAGAAGGTCCTCAAGGTAAAGTAAGACCATTCCATATTTGTGTTATAATGCTCTCTGCTATGGACATAAAACTTGTTCTAAAGACAAATGCAGTTCCAGCATTTGAATACATTAAATAAATTAAGTTCAACATCAGCTCTGTGCTGGTCTTAATTTCTCTTTTTTTAAACAATTTTTAATTAAAATTTTTTTTAAAATTTTAATTGCTTCACCATGAGATACACAGTTACAAAGCTGTTCATGATCTTGTTTCAGTCATACAATGATGGGGAACACCCATCCCTCCACCAGTGACCATTTTCCACCACCAATGACCCCAGTTTCCCTCCCACCATCCCTACTCCCCCAGCCTGCCTCTATGAGTGTATGGCAGGCACTTTCCTTCTCCCTCTTTCTCTTGCTGACCTTAATTTTTCTTTTCTTTTTTTACAAGAAATTAAATAGCTATATTAATGGATATGTACTCTTTTTT